TCTAGGAAACTAAACTAAACCAAAATAGAAATAGCCCCCTTTACAAACGCAAGTGTGATGATTTATTAAAGACACTACCATGAAAGTCTAGAAAACTAAACTAAACCAAAATGGAAATAGCCCCCCATATTTGAAGAGCATGTTGTAATTTCTCGTATACCACGATGGGTGAGCCAATGAACTGCATTATCCAATGAATCCGTTTTTGATATGGTAGGATAAAGTAATAAATCAAAACTAAATATCAAAAACATACATTTAAAAGTTCCTTCTTGACTAAACTATTGAAATAATCTACTTTGGGTAAATATGAATACATTTGAGTTTCTCTTTACCCCTGTTTTTAACGTTCCAGTGTCCAGATGGGGTGCTAACGTCAATAGAAAGACGCTTTTCCTAAACGTACACCTAGTCGTGTTCCCGACCACACATTTTCTATGTCTCATACGGGAACGTGTAATTGGTCACCCACATAGTCCTTTTCAGCGGTTAGGATAAAAAACTTGATTATGCTACCAATGGCCTCTTACGTTTGCTATGCGTGATCTCACGAAATTCTTGAAACTGAAACCACAAAATCCGGTCAAGGTAAAAGCAAAACAAATACATGTACATAAAGAGTGAAATATAGATGTAAAACTGTTTTCAATTTCATTCCGTGTAAAACCAAGACCAGAGCAATCACCTCTGGCCAATCACGAAAAACTCAAATGACAAAATAAGCAAATCAGATCTCGTCTCTAAACGGGGCCAAGCAAAAGAAGACACACGCAAGCCAAGTCACGGTTGGTTTTGCTTTGGTCCTGATCGCTTTAAAATGAGCTGTTTGAAGGAGTTTCGTTAAAGCTAATTAATGCAAAGACTAGTAAATTCAAGTTAAACGACGACTAAGATACGCCGTTTCAACGAAACGTTTCCTTAAAGTACTAGTAGGAAATCAAATTACATTGATGATGAACATATGCGTTATGTCACAGTTTCCTGTTTTAACAGTGCAGTTAAAAAGATCAATACTAAAATCATTACCGTCAGCTCACACACAAAGGTGGCCGTTAGTAACAACAACATTTTTTTTTTATGGCTCAAGCGTGCGATTCATCCTCGTGCTTTATTTTCGCATAGTTGTCGTCGTCCGTTGCTGCGTCCTGTGGGAGATTAGATTCCTTTTCTTTCTCGAGAGAGGCATATTGTGGTTCAGGATCTTCGATTCCATAATCTCCATCATTAGCGACATCATATGTTGGGTTAGATATCCCGTTACTGCCGTCATCATCCTTTTCTTTCTCGAGAGAGGCATATGGTGGTTCAGGATCTTCGATTCCATGATCTTCATCATTGGCGACATCATATGTTGGATTAGATGTCCCGTTGCTGCCGTCATCATTGTTCCATTGTCTTATTTTTTCAGTCACTGAGCCACCTTTTGCTTGTGAAATGGAATCATATATTGGGTCTTGGCCAAAAGCTGGGTTATCAAATGCAGTGTGAGAGTTGCTATTAGTCACCCAGTCATTTTCCAACTGTATGCCGTCTGCTGGTCTTGAATTATGCGCTCTCTTTCTGTAAGACGAAATAAATATTTTTATAAAGTGCATTCATTTCTATGATAAGCGGTGGAACAATCCAGCGGTCAGCACGTTGGACGTCGGATTGATAGGGATATCGAGAGATCCGACTTTGAGCCCTAAAGTTTGAGCCCCGGTCGGATCATGTTGGGATTTGGGACAAAACGCTTTACTCTCATAGTGTCATTAAGGTGGATGGGAGTGAGTTCCGCAAACTGTTGGAGCAGCGTAACAAATTTCTGGTGGAGCCTATTTCATGCGGACGGAGTAGTAATACTCCTAGTCACTTCAGATATCGGAAACTGGAGCTCAGTACTCCCTTGCCTCGCCACCTGACCTCTTTTAGTTTGGGGGTAATGCTAACAAGAAGTGACGCTAAATGAAGTTCGCCCGTGTTTTAGTAGAGTCACATTACACTGGTTGGCTACATCAAGATAACAAGGAAGCCTTACCGTCTCATTCGGTAGATAACAAATGCAGCCACTAATATCAACACGATGACAAGGCTTACAACACCAGCAGCAATCGCGCCTACGGGCGTTCCTTTATCATCTTGGGTTGATTTTGCGCCTTCTTTCGGTTGCTCTGGTTGTTTTCCTTGTAAAGAAACAATTGTTGTTGGCGATATGGCATGTTGCTATTGAATGCTTAAAGGCAAATACCAATGGTCTGGTACGTATTCAACTAAAACCTAAGCAATCGTGTGCGTGCATGGTCTGACTGTTCTCTAACAAGCCTCCCAGGCAACCAACCAACCGACCAATCAGCCAACCAATCAACCAAGCATCCAACCAAGCATCCAAACAACCATCCAAACAACAACTAACCAACCAACCTACCAAGCAACCTATCAACCAACTTGTCTCGACGATACTAAATCTTACGAACTATTTTCCCCATGAAAAGGGAAAACTCGAGTCCGAATCCTACAACCTACATTCAAGAAACACACCGATTCGAATATTAATTCATGGACAGTAAAATTTAAGCATGCATTCAAAAAGAATAGTTCACATTCGACAGTCTTTTGTTCTGCCGTCCCAACGGACGGCATTAGCGTTAATGAACAAGCAACCAAGTAACCAAGCAACCAAGCGACCAATCAACCAAGCAACCAAGTAACCAGCAAGCAACCAAGCAGCCAATCCACCAATCCGGCAACCAAGCAAAATAGCAACCAAGCAACCAAGGGACCAGATAACCAACAAAACAAGCAGCCAACAAACCAACCAACTTAACTATCAACCAACTCACCAACCAAAACCAAACCAGCAACAACAGGCAGACCAACCATACCTACCTACCAACCTGCCTACTTAACTACCCGCCTATCTACTGACCTATTAATCTCTGAAATTATAATATTCACTGAAAAAGTAATTATTTACTTATTGTTATCCGCTTGATTGATCCTCCAACCGCCTTCTGAAGAACTTCTTTGTTTTTATCGACCATTTGAACCAGTTCTTCAGGTTTGGACGGTTGTGGAGCCTTCCCATCCACAGATGGAAATAGGACAGCAAACTCAATTATCCAAGTATTTTCTCCATTAGGAGAAAGTCCAAGTATTTTGACATCAGAATCCTGAATAAATTTTGCCCTTTCGGAACGCTTAACTCGCCCAGACGTGCTGTAAGAGAAGAGGAATAATTGATAAGAGAGTAATGGACAGAGACTAAGAGCAAAACTAGACTTACAAGACTAGGACCTGGGAAGATATAGAGGTTACACCAGGGAAGGTAAGGTGAAGTTTACACTTTATCGCGGGAAATTGCAACGTTGATTCCGACTAGACGTTTCTTAGAAAAACCGTAGTTAATACAGATGAATGTTAATTAATCCGGGCAAAATGTAAGGAGCGGGAAAAACGGCAAGATTTGTGTTGGCAGGGCTACAATCGTGCAATTACGTAGCCGAAACGTTTGGTTAGGTGCGCAAACGGGAGTAACCACCTATTGAGTGAGGGTTTTCCTCGGTGAAGGCAGAAAAAGCTAACAAAGAGCTAGACAAAACAAAGAACGTTGTCGAGCTTTAAAGGCAGATTTAAAGGTGTTACCTTTTGCATTCGCCACTCTTGCAAAAGAAATCTGTACAAGCTTTTGCGATTGCAACTCTGAAGTTAAATTCAATCCATTGTTTCTGTAATAAAGCCAAGACAATCAATAATAGATTATCAGTTTAGCGGAATTTGAGATATACTACGCCGTGTGTGCAGGCACGGTTGCCTCATGGGTAGTGTGCTGGTCCCCGGATAGAGCGGTCCGGTTTCCAGCCCTGACCGTGGTCATCATGTTGTGTCCTGGGCAAGACACGTGACTTTTGGAGTGCCTCTCTGTCCAGCTATATAATTGGGTACCAGCGAATTTAATGCTAGGGGGTAACCTTGTGATGGACTAACAATCCATCCAGGGGGAAGTAAATATACTTCCAGCTGCTACATGCTACAGAATCCGGAGATAAGCGCTGGATTGATGCGGCACTAGGTTAAAACGAATACTTTGTATTATCTTTCTGTGTTACCCGATGCAATTGTTCGCTTCCTGGGCGAAAGAAAGTTAGGAAAACTTTTCGAACCAATTAATCCTCTCCTAGATGTTTCGTACAGTAGACTTTCCACTCTACTCTGTGACACTCTCAAGTTGGGAATATAGTTAGTTACCACACTACCACTCCGTACAATAGAGCTAGTTTTCCCTGTTCTTTTGCACATCACTTGTACAGGACAATTTTGAATTCAAACTGATAGATTGTCATTAAACAACCAGCACCCGTACCTCGTTTGAAAACGTTAGCTCCATCTCCACAGCACTTGAACCTAAACCAAAACAACAACAAAATTTGAGTGTTAGTTTTCTAGGAACTAACTAAGAAATTTTAATACACTTTTACCCAATATCTGACAAATTTTCTCTAATCTTTTTTGTCCACAGAAATTAGGCGTTAATTGCACACAAACAGGGTTAAATACTCTCCCTTTTTCAGGTTTGGTTGAGCCCAACCTAGTAGACGTTTTCGTCCTCTTTGCAGAACTACCTTGGCCTTGTACTTTGTACATTCTAATAAAAGTTCCTGGTCAGTTGTATTTCTCACTGCCGGGTGTGCCGCTGCGGAAACAGATAATAAGGGAAGACGGAGAAAAAATTTAATGTTTCTTTCACGGGCATTTTGACCAGTGAGGACTAACACTGCTGCCAAATTAACCTCTATCCAATGCTTCCGTCAAAAATCACGCTTCTTGAACTGAAGGAGGGCGAAGACAGTTCCTTAGACATGTTTTCAAAGATTCCGCGTGCAGTTCATAAAAAGGATCCGGATTCTCGAAAGCTATTCAGAACAATGATTTTTTATGAAATAATCTGACGGTGGAATTCAGTAAGGTCTCCTTCGAATTGATAATTGAGTTTAAACTTGAAATTTAATAACTTGCTATATGTGAATAAGTAGCTAAAATCTACCTTACCAAAACAAAACACGATATTGGTTATTACTGGGACCGTATCATCCACACTCACACCCACGCACTTACCAACATAAACAGCGCATAGGTTCCACACGTAATATTTTGCACACACACAAAAGTAGCCTGGTACAACACACGTTCCTCCATTCTTACAAGTATTGAGACGACACTCAGTAGGACTCAGAGTAGTTGGTTGCACACTGGTAGACGGGACGGTTGAGCTTGATGTGGTAAATGAAGGAGTTTTAGGACTCATAGTAGTTGGTTGCACACTGGTAGACGGGACGGTTGAGCTTGATGTGGTAAATGAAGGAGTTTTAGGACTCATAGTAGTTGGTTGCACACTGGTAGACGGGACGGTTGAGCTTGATGTGGTAAATGAAGGAGTTTTAGGACTCAGAGTAGTTGGTTGCACACTGGTAGACGGGACGGTTGAGCTTGATGTGGTAAATGAAGGAGTTTTAGGACTCAGAGTAGTTGGTTGCACACTGGTAGACGGGACGGGTGAGCTTGATGTGGTAAATGAAGGAGTTTTTGTTTGGGAGGCGGATGTACTTGGTGACGAGGAAGATAATATAAAAACTAAAAGGAAAGTAAGATGACACAACTCTTTAAAAAATATAAACAAAATGGTAGCTTGGCATGGTTTTCTTCCTGTGAAACGGTTTTTGGCCAAGGGATTTTGTTGAGGATAAAAGTACCGCTGTCTGCTTTTTGTTTGGAATGACCTGCTTTATACCAACTCATTGTTTATTTCATATTTGAATTCCCCTAATTTCTTAATCATGAAACCAATGGAAAATAGAGAGATTTCCTTACGTTATGTTTGACTTTATGTAAGGACTGATTAAAGAAGTATTAAACTAATTATTTCTGTTTTCAGAAAGGATTATGTTTCTTTTAAGTTACCCGAAGAGTTGCAAACTTCACCAGATGATAGGTAATCTGGACACGAACAGCGATATCCGTCTGGTCTTACAAGGCAGAGATGAGAACAGCCGCCTTGAGAAGAGGAACAAGGATGATCTGGGGGGGAGAAAAAAGGAAGCACAATGCTTGAGAATCGTAATTAAATTAAAAATGTTAGAGAAATAATGACCAACCATTCATGGGCTACCCATTCCCACTTCAAAAATGCAAATTTAAAGAAGATTTTGACAAAAATTCCGGCGAAATTATTCGCATAATTTAAAGAATATTGATTCGCCTACCACTTAATTCAACAAAAGAAGCGCTATCGGCTTTAGCCAATCGGCCACGACTACGAACTTGATGTATCTATAATTTCTGATTTTAAACTTGTGTAGTATTTTTAATAACTATATCCACGTATGCCAAATAAAATCAGATGTTCTACTTGTGGTTTAACAGAGAGCTAACTAATTCATAATTAGTTAAATTCTGGTTTCATCCCTGACTAAAATATAGTGTTTTTGTTTTGTTATGTCACTTTCAGTCCAGTACATCACTTCACGAAGTGTGATGTGTGGAATCATTGCCATCTTTTCTTGAAGAAGCTTTAAGGTTTAGTCATTTAGAAATTTAGTGTAGTGCAGGCACTAAAAGCTGCTAAAAATGAACTTAAAGGTTACCTTCGTACTGGGAAACAAATCAAGCAACGAAACAATAAAGCGGAAGAAAAAAAAAACACAAATAAGTGGGAACGAACTGAGAAAGAATGATGGTCAATGATAGTTCCTGCTTAAGTTTGTAAGAGGTCTTTACCTGGAAGAGTTTTATTTCTGTCGTATGCGTGTATATCCATTGGTTGACTCAAACCACTGACGAGAATATTGGCATTTGAAGCTGTTCTCTTGTCCGCCTTATACACAACAGGGTTATACCAGTCCGTCCAGTATAACTGATCATCAATCGACGTCAAACCAAACGGATGTAGCAGAATACCGTCCTTTAACAAAGTTGTTATTTTATGAATTTTTAAGTCGTAGTACTCCAAGACATCAAGGAATGCGTCTACCCAGTAAAGCCTGTTATTCAAGTCATCTAATGTTAACCCGTTTGGCCAGTATAGTCCTCTTGTAACAAGTTCCCGTCTTCCATGACCATCCATGTTGGCGAGTTCAATTTTGGGCTTGCTACCCCAGTCGCACCAATACATCAACCTGCACAAAAGATTTAGCGACGCAAGTTATCTACCTGAAATAGAATACTATTCATTCATTAATCTACTTGACTAACAGATAGTCCAGAAGCAGATATTTACCCTCTGTTAAGATCGAGAATTATATCCCGCGGCTGGTCTAAGTCTTGGTCTATCAAAGTTTTCCTCATTGTTCCATCCATTCTGCTGACTTCAATCTTGTTTGTGCCCGTGTCAGTCCAATAGATATTCCCTCCCAGTGGATCAACAGCAAGTCCATCAGGTGTGAAAACGTCCAACGAAATAATGACTTCAGGTGACGATCCATTGATAAACACCCTCGAGATTGTATTCAGGGTCACGTCTGTCCAGTAAATTCTATTGTCTGTGATGTCCAGATCAAGCGCAACCGGGCGAGTCATGCTGAGCTCTATTGGTAAAGCTGTGGGTCCCACAATGGAACCATCCAAAGGAAGCATAAATATCTTTGCCTGACTATAACTGCCATCGGCGAAGACAAGGAATTTCTGGAAAACTTCAAAAATGAGGTAGTTCACAGTAAGCTCAATTTTATAGGAGGTTAAGGAAAGCGAAATTGCGGACCAAGGGGACCAAGCCATTATTAGTGTTAACAGAACTAGGAATGTTGAAACCTAGCTACAGCTCGTTACTTATAAAGTAGAAGGCGTGTGTCAAATCTGTTCGAAACAGGAACAGAAACTGTGTAAAGAGCTGAACTTCAAACGTGCAAGAAAGATTAGGAATTCTTTCAAGCAAGCAGGCGGATGAGCTCTTAGCTAAAAAGTTAGTATTTTTGCTTTTTGCCACCGAGTGGACTATCGTACCTCTACTGCGGATATAAGGTATAAATTGCCACACTAGTAGGACTAAACATGCTTACCATAGTTGTGCGGAACACAAGTCTTCTCATCTTCCGAAAGAGTAAGGTTATCAGGACACGAACAGCGATATCCACCCGGTGTTAGAAGGCAAAGATGTGAACAGCCACCATACGACTGGGAACATGGATGATCTAATAATGAAACAAAGTTAAACCTAAATGATTTTAAAAGCATAAGGCAAGGAGCCTTTTTGAATGCATGTGACTGGTTTTACCTTGACTTTCTTGTGAACTCAATCTTACTCCTAACTATAAATTGAAAAAACCGATAAACGCTACTTAGTGGTGGTTTAGAAGACAGTGATGCTCTTGTGACGGGAAACACAGCCGGACGGTTATCTGTTGTACTGCTGCAGGTTCTGTATTACGAATACTAATGCAATGTAAACTATATTTTTGCTAAGTGCTCTGGATTTAAAAAACGAGTTTTAACTAGCAGAGAAAGAGTCAATGGCTTATAAGCTAGTGCTGTTAACCTGGGAGAGTTTTATTTGTGTCATACGCGTGAATATCCATGGGTTGACTCAGACCACCGAGTACAACCTTTAAATCTGAAAGTGTATCCTTTTCCGCCTGGTACACCACATCCAAAGTCCAATCCGTCCAGTACAAGTAATTTTCAAACAGCGTCAAACCAAAAGGGTGTGGTAAGATTGAACTGTTTTTCATCAAAGTTGTTATTGTATGACTTCCTAAGTCGTAGTATCCTATGGTTTCAAACCATGCATCCACCCAGTAAAGCCGTCTATTTGCATCGTCTAATGTCAGCCCGTTTGGCCAGTAAAGTCCTCTTTGAAACAGTATACTTCTGTTTCTACCATCCATGTTGGCGACTTCAATCTTGTGATCGTCACCCCAGTCGCACCAATACATCCTCCTAAATATTATTTTGCAGGAACCAAACAATGTTATGACAATTAAAATTACGACAGACAAAAAGGCGCTATTAAGCAGCAAGCATTTTACAGATGAAATAAAAGAAATTAACGCTGAGCAATAGTCTCGAGCTTGCACGGAAAAATGCATAGCCTTGACTACACACTGGTGGGATAAGAATAAAATATCGTTTGTTCCTCGTCCTCTCCGTCTACAGACCTTGAGCCGACCTCCGAGTTCAACCCACCTCATCCCGTTCTTCTCCTAAACTTTTGGACCGCCTTTATCATTATGCCCCCACCTTCTCTAGAGAGCTTCATAGGTAATAGATTAGTCATTGATTTGTCTCATTTATTTATCCAAGATCGTTTTTTAAAATTGATAAAAAAAGTGCGATGACTCATGGCCAAATTGTATCTCAACGCGTGGTTGGTCTCTGTTTTGTTATGATCTGAGCAAGCGAAGCCCGTCTGTTGTCAAAAACTAAAAGCCACAAAAGTCTATTTACTGTTGTTAAATCATGCAGGGAAAGGAGACATACTAGCTAATCAAGTTACTTAACTGAGAATAAAGTATATGTTCTGGTTGTAACCTGGGTTAGGCTGCATTTATTTTTGGACCGGCAGACTCTTTAACTACATCATTACAATTATTCAAGAGAAAGGCGGTGTAAATGAGCATGCAATTAATGTACTAAAGACGCTGATATCCAGCTTTAGACTGTAAAATTCTTAATCCAAAATTGATTTAAATTGACATTGATTAAATAAATCATGGCCTTGATGGTGTTTGGATCACTCACTCATCCTCGTCATCCCAGCAGTGATATAAGGCCATAAAATAGATATGTGATCCTAATCAGCATAGGTTCTACGATTTTTTTCTCCGTTTTCTCCTTAGTTTTAGGTTCGGTTGAGAAGATATATCAAACACTCAAGACAGTGTTTGACCACATTTCCAAAAACATCGACGTTCGTCAAATATACTCCGCTGCGCGTCGTATTTTCAACTCCTTCTCGGTGTTTGGAAATGTGGTTAAACACGGTCTTTCGTGTCAGATAAATTACTTCTAACGACTAAACTTCGTACGCAGATTTAAGATAAAGAAAAAATATATTTACCCTTTCATGAGATCAAGAATTATATCCCTTGGCTCATCTAGGTTGCTGGATATCAGTGTCTTCCTCATTGTTCCATCATTTCTACTGACCTCAATCTTGTTAGTACCAGTGTCAGACCAGTATATATTCCCTCCAAGTGGATCAACAGCGAGTCCATCAGGGGAATAAATATCTTCGGACACTAAAACTTCCGGTGATGATCCATTTATAAATACTCTCGAGATTGTGTTGAGAGTAACGTCTGTCCAGTAAATCCTGTTTTCTGTCAGATCCAGATCGAGGGCAACTGGCCGACGTATGTTCAACTCTATTGGTACAGCTTGTGCCTTCGCGTTGGATTCATTCAGGGGCAATACAAGTATTTCTGCTTGACTAGCATCGGCAAACAACAAGAACTTCTGAGGAACTTAAAACACAAAAATATCTTGATTATAAGTTTGGTAAAGATAGTGGGAGAATGATGAGAAGGCAAGTTTTCAACTAAGAAATGTTTCCCATCCCAAACACTTTTGTCATTTTTAACGTTGTTGGGAAATAAACGCCTGAAACACGATCTTTTTCAAAAAGAGGCAAGTGTGCTGTTGCTCGAGAAAAATACTGTAGCAATAACTTAACGGTTGGAAACATCGAGCCTACTAAAGAATCTAGAGTTTTTCCAGTCTGTTTTGTAGAGTGATAAAACGTGAGAATTGACTTGTTAATTTTATTTCTCGGAGTGCGCACCAAAAGGGACGTTAACGGAGTATCGAAGTCGCGAGTCACTTGAGGGGTTTCGGAAGCATATCCCGAGGAAATTCTTAGTTTTAGGTGCTCGGTAATGCAATTTCTGGACAACAACTTCTTAAATCAAAGCTCGGAAAAACGTTGACTTATATTTTTTTATATGTCAACCTTTGGGATAAATGATATCAGGTTTAATTGGAAATAATTCTAGAGACTGTCAAACCAGGTGATTTAATTATAAAAGACGCTTTTTCCCCAAAAAATATACAAAGCACAACCAATCACGGAAGAAGAAGGCATTGTTCTCTTTTTAACAAATTCATATATCTTGGAATGTATCTGTTATTTTTGACAGTTGCCTGATGATTGCTTTACGGGTATCAAATAAATATGTTCGAACTTGTCCGACTCCACATATACCGAAAGGTTCTTGTCCAAGCCCGAACAGGTCTGTGAATTGTGTTTTTAGATCAATTACTTTCCTTTACGCTTGCCCACTCTCAGGGGTACAAATGGGTATTGGCTGATTGTTGCGTCAGATGGGCAAACTCAGGCTGGCGAACTTATCAACTGATAAGCCTGTTGGCAAGAAATTTCTTAGCACTCAAACTTACTTTGATGTTCACAAGTCTTCTCATCTCCAGCCAGAGTAAGGTGACCAGGGCATACACACCCACCCCCAGTCGGCGAGAGTAAGCAAATATGACTGCAGCCACCATTATCAAACAGGCAATTAGCTATAGAGTTTCCTGAGGCAAAAAAAAAAAAAAAAAAAGAAAAAAANAAAGGATCCGGATTCTCGAAAGCTATTCAGAACAATGATTTTTTATGAAATAATCTGACGGTGGAATTCAGTAAGGTCTCCTTCGAATTGATAATTGAGTTTAAACTTGAAATTTAATAACTTGCTATATGTGAATAAGTAGCTAAAATCTACCTTACCAAAACAAAACACGATATTGGTTATTACTGGGACCGTATCATCCACGCTCACACCCACGCACTTACCAACATAAACAGCGCATAGGTTCCACACGTAATATTTTGCACACACACAAAAGTAGCCTGGTACAACACACGTTCCTCCATTCTTACAAGTATTGAGACGACACTCAGTAGGACTCAGAGTAGTTGGTTGCACACTGGTAGACGGGACGGTTGAGCTTGATGTGGTAAATGAAGGAGTTTTAGGACTCATAGTAGTTGGTTGCACACTGGTAGACGGGACGGTTGAGCTTGATGTGGTAAATGAAGGAGTTTTAGGACTCAGAGTAGTTGGTTGCACACTGGTAGACGGGACGGGTGAGCTTGATGTGGTAAATGAAGGAGTTTTTGTTTGGGAGGCGGATGTACTTGGTGACGAGGAAGATAATATAAAAACTAAAAGGAAAGTAAGATGACACAACTCTTTAAAAAATATAAACAAAATGGTAGCTTGGCATGGTTTTCTTCCTGTGAAACGGTTTTTGGCCAAGGGATTTTGTTGAGGATAAAAGTACCGCTGTCTGCTTTTTGTTTGGAATGACCTGCTTTATACCAACTCATTGTTTATTTCATATTTGAATTCCCCTAATTTCTTAATCATGAAACCAATGGAAAATAGAGAGATTTCCTTACGTTATGTTTGACTTTATGTAAGGACTGATTAAAGAAGTATTAAACTAATTATTTCTGTTTTCAGAAAGGATTATGTTTCTTTTAAGTTACCCGAAGAGTTGCAAACTTCACCAGATGATAGGTAATCTGGACACGAACAGCGATATCCGTCTGGTCTTACAAGGCAGAGATGAGAACAGCCGCCTTGAGAAGAGGAACAAGGATGATCTGGGGGGGAGAAAAAAGGAAGCACAATGCTTGAGAATCGTAATTAAATTAAAAATGTTAGAGAAATAATGACCAACCATTCATGGGCTACCCATTCCCACTTCAAAAATGCAAATTTAAAGAAGATTTTGACAAAAATTCCGGCGAAATTATTCGCATAATTTAAAGAATATTGATTCGCCTACCACTTAATTCAACAAAAGAAGCGCTATCGGCTTTAGCCAATCGGCCACGACTACGAACTTGATGTATCTATAATTTCTGATTTTAAACTTGTGTAGTATTTTTAATAACTATATCCACGTATGCCAAATAAAATCAGATGTTCTACTTGTGGTTTAACAGAGAGCTAACTAATTCATAATTAGTTAAATTCTGGTTTCATCCCTGACTAAAATATAGTGTTTTTGTTTTGTTATGTCACTTTCAGTCCAGTACATCACTTCACGAAGTGTGATGTGTGGAATCATTGCCATCTTTTCTTGAAGAAGCTTTAAGGTTTAGTCATTTAGAAATTTAGTGTAGTGCAGGCACTAAAAGCTGCTAAAAATGAACTTAAAGGTTACCTTCGTACTGGGAAACAAATCAAGCAACGAAACAATAAAGCGGAAGAAAAAAAAAACACAAATAAGTGGGAACGAACTGAGAAAGAATGATGGTCAATGATAGTTCCTGCTTAAGTTTGTAAGAGGTCTTTACCTGGAAGAGTTTTATTTCTGTCGTATGCGTGTATATCCATTGGTTGACTCAAACCACTGACGAGAATATTGGCATTTGAAGCTGTTCTCTTGTCCGCCTTATACACAACAGGGTTATACCAGTCCGTCCAGTATAACTGATCATCAATCGACGTCAAACCAAACGGATGTAGCAGAATACCGTCCTTTAACAAAGTTGTTATTTTATGAATTTTTAAGTCGTAGTACTCCAAGACATCAAGGAATGCGTCTACCCAGTAAAGCCTGTTATTCAAGTCATCTAATGTTAACCCGTTTGGCCAGTATAGTCCTCTTGTAACAAGTTCCCGTCTTCCATGACCATCCATGTTGGCGAGTTCAATTTTGGGCTTGCTACCCCAGTCGCACCAATACATCAACCTGCACAAAAGATTTAGCGACGCAAGTTATCTACCTGAAATAGAATACTATTCATTCATTAATCTACTTGACTAACAGATAGTCCAGAAGCAGATATTTACCCTCTGTTAAGATCGAGAATTATATCCCGCGGCTGGTCTAAGTCTTGGTCTATCAAAGTTTTCCTCATTGTTCCATCCATTCTGCTGACTTCAATCTTGTTTGTGCCCGTGTCAGTCCAATAGATATTCCCTCCCAGTGGATCAACAGCAAGTCCATCAGGTGTGAAAACGTCCAACGAAATAATGACTTCAGGTGACGATCCATTGATAAACACCCTCGAGATTGTATTCAGGGTCACGTCTGTCCAGTAAATTCTATTGTCTGTGATGTCCAGATCAAGCGCAACCGGGCGAGTCATGCTGAGCTCTATTGGTAAAGCTGTGGGTCCCACAATGGAACCATCCAAAGGAAGCATAAATATCTTTGCCTGACTATAACTGCCATCGGCGAAGACAAGGAATTTCTGGAAAACTTCAAAAATGAGGTAGTTCACAGTAAGCTCAATTTTATAGGAGGTTAAGGAAAGCGAAATTGCGGACCAAGGGGACCAAGCCATTATTAGTGTTAACAGAACTAGGAATGTTGAAACCTAGCTACAGCTCGTTACTTATAAAGTAGAAGGCGTGTGTCAAATCTGTTCGAAACAGGAACAGAAACTGTGTAAAGAGCTGAACTTCAAACGTGCAAGAAAGATTAGGAATTCTTTCAAGCAAGCAGGCGGATGAGCTCTTAGCTAAAAAGTTAGTATTTTTGCTTTTTGCCACCGAGTGGACTATCGTACCTCTACTGCGGATATAAGGTATAAATTGCCACACTAGTAGGACTAAACATGCTTACCATAGTTGTGCGGAACACAAGTCTTCTCATCTTCCGAAAGAGTAAGGTTATCAGGACACGAACAGCGATATCCACCCGGTGTTAGAAGGCAAAGATGTGAACAGCCACCATACGACTGGGAACATGGATGATCTAATAATGAAACAAAGTTAAACCTAAATGATTTTAAAAGCATAAGGCAAGGAGCCTTTTTGAATGCATGTGACTGGTTTTACCTTGACTTTCTTGTGAACTCAATCTTACTCCTAACTATAAATTGAAAAAACCGATAAACGCTACTTAGTGGTGGTTTAGAAGACAGTGATGCTCTTGTGACGGGAAACACAGCCGGACGGTTATCTGTTGTACTGCTGCAGGTTCTGTATTACGAATACTAATGCAATGTAAACTATATTTTTGCTAAGTGCTCTGGATTTAAAAAACGAGTTTTAACTAGCAGAGAAAGAGTCAATGGCTTATAAGCTAGTGCTGTTAACCTGGGAGAGTTTTATTTGTGTCATACGCGTGAATATCCATGGGTTGACTCAGACCACCGAGTACAACCTTTAAATCTGAAAGTGTATCCTTTTCCGCCTGGTACACCACATCCAAAGTCCAATCNAAATTGCTCTATGCAACACCTCCACGTACACTTTTGAGCACATAAATTGGCAAAAAGGAAAAGGGGTGCTCCTGAACGTTTAGGCTATCCTTATGGGCAAATATTTTAGCCCCGCGAAGCGGAACATATTACTTCAGGCCCCAAAATATGTCATGACCCCAAAAACCATGCATAACGCACCTATTAAAAATTAATCTCAATGCGCCACTGATCACAACTTAGAACGACTCTGACACATTTTTAGTAACCCAAAGCACTAAGCATCGTCCTTACCCGCATCTCCTAACCTTTGGTTATTACTAGTAAATAATATTAACGAAGGGTGATAAAGTTCTCTTCGTGATATGTAAGCGATAATGTCCAAAATAATTCAAGCAACACAACGAATTGTATAGCGTGTTACTCTCCGGACTGTTGTCATGACTTGTTATCTTCAGTTACCTAATGATTATCAGTAAAATTTGAATTTATTATTGCACTGTCTTATGCAATAACAATGACAATGCTAACAAAGGACTAGCATGACCACAAATCTTTTGCAACAAACCCTTCACAAAATGTTGACGTTTCCTTCAGGATATGTCAGTCTTTCATTTAAAATATAAAACTGAACACGAATTTACTTTAAGATAGCACTGCGTCAATTCCAAGTATAAAGCACGCAATGCCCTTTAGCAAACTTGGAATTCAATTTGATGTTTGTTCTGCATAAAAGCAATTAAATTGTCAATTCAGTAACGTCCCTGATTAGTCGAGAACTTACTTTTCTTTGACATAAGCGATGTATTAATAAAGTGAATTGTGATACGCTTCAGAGATCGTTAGATTATTCATTCAGCCTGGACTATGTCGTTTTCATCCGTTTTTGTCGCAATTTTGGCCGTTTGAAGACACATTGTAATTATTTTTTTTTTTTTATGATTTATGAAGTTATTATTACTTTTATCTCAAGCCCGGTGTCATGGCAGACACAGATACAGTGACGTAAAATAAGAACATTTAAGTAAACATGGTTTTGCTAACGCGGCTGGTCTCAATCACAGCCTCGAGGCAACAGTCGAGGTTTTCAAAAGGACAAAAGCAAAGAACTGGAAGTGAGTCAAGATTGAAGGCTGTCAGGTTTTGAAAAACAGATTAATGCCTGAGTCAGCCTGCCATATCTATTCGCGGACTGACTATTAAAACACAACTCGTGACATTGACCCGAAAAGATGCAGTTTTAAAAAGTTAAGACTCGAATGGAAAACTTAACTACGCAATAATGTTTTCGGAGAAAGTTACAAGAAAAAAATAGATATCTCTATGAGAGAGGTTTTCAAGTTGTTAACATAAGGCCATTCCACTTTCTAAGGAAATGAAGGATAGTTGTGAATCAGTTTGTATTCGCCTCCATTGTTCCAGCGATCCATGTTTAAATTATAAGATCATTCCGTAATTAACATGCACACACCTCGCTCATACTGCACTAACCTAGATTTTTCTAGAAGTACATCAAAAGATCTACAAGTTAGTTAAATGCAACTTTGTAAAAGTAACTTCATACAGCCAATTGGTTAAGCTTGAAAAAAAAAGCTTGGTTATTGATTTTTAAAGCGATCCAAAAGGGATTCAAACCATCTAATCAAAAGACTCGTTCTTACTGGGGAAGTAATCTTTCTTTATGTAAGTTGAGTGTATGAAGCACAAAGGAACATAGCAAAAGAGTACTGAGATAGGGAATAACCTACCTTAGTTGCTGAAATTGTACACGAACAGTACAAATAGACTTTATCTTGTCTTGCGCTAGCGAAATGAAAGAAACCAATGAATAAAAACCTAAACAAATTATAGGTAAAGAGGTCCACGCTTCAGTAATAAACTCTCGTAGACAGTACAAAGAAAATTTGCATTCCATTCTAGGGACAGCTGGAAGGCAAATCTATCTACGCAATAATATCTCGATGAAGACTGTGAATAACTCTGTTAAACTTCATCTGAAAGTGTTACTTATAACGAGAAAAATATAGCATGCTGTTGGTTGGCGATGCTACAATATGTTCATTTGAATCAAGTCGCATTGTGTAAAACCTGCAAGATGCCGACAAACAATAGTTGTCGAGAGGTGCTGTTCAGATAAAGAATTTGAAATAACTACATAAAACAAATTAAAGCTAAACTGTTCCACGCTTCAAAGATCCTGAAACAACCTCTCTTAGACAATATGTGGAAAATTTGCATTAAATTCTGGAGACAGCTTGGGGGCAAATCTATCTACGTAATAACGTTTTCGCTGAAGACTTACGTAACCTTTTTAAACATCATTTGAAAGTGCTACTTATAACGAGAGAAAGAAAGCATGCTGCTGAATGCAGTGCTAGAATGTGATACTTTACATTCCGAAATATTGCTCCATTGAATTTTCACGCCAAAGACCTGAATACAATGCACTTTAATTACTATTTAATAGCAATCATTTCAAAGGGATGCGTCTAACACGCAAATTTACCCTGTGAAAGATTGATGTTCTTTTCATAAACTTATAAATTTGCTTTCAAAGATGTGAGTGGCACGGAAATTTATCTCGATGAGTCCGGAATCTTGTTCATCGATCTGAAGGAACGTTCAACTATGCGAGTTTGAGATATGTAGAAGTTAGCAACTTTATATCAGTGAGACTGCAAAACACAATAGCATTTCCTTGGATTGAATTTGCAAACAATGTAATTTCAGTTGTTTGTTTGAGCAGCAGGATGATCAGATTGACAGTTGGCCTGGGAAATTCTTCAGTGTATGTTGTGTGGTAAGTTAATCGTATGCTTGCCTCTTACACCAAGAGTGCTTTTACAGCTTAAAGACAATAGCAAAAACCTATTTTGTCTTACTTGGGTAACTAACTTAATTCTACCTGTTGCGTAGATTACAAGGAGCCAGATACAGCATACCTGAATTTGGGGCCCACGAGAATTTTGACTGTTATTTCGTCGGTTTGTAATCCAGGCGCTCTTACGTTGCAAGAACACGGACTTCTTAGTTGATCTGGTTAAACACAAATGCCTATAGTAGAAAATACACCACTCATACAATTTATAAGAACCTACATCCGGGACCCAAGTGACGTATATTTCATCTTCTAACAAATTAGGATATCGATCATGATGACATCATTCCCCCCTTTTTTTACTTTTTTTTTGTTTTGTTTTGTTTTGTTTTTTTGCAAACAATTACTTTATTTTCTGTACAATAAAAGGAAAATTACACGGTGACTTGACGATACGAGTTTTATTTTCTCGAGTTAACAACATTATTGTACCAATGCATCGAAAGTAATATTGACATCTTCGCGCCGCGAGGAGATATGTAATACCCTCCATTACATACCTATGCAGAGGTACGAACGTTTTTGTTGAAAAATGTTCTACGACTGAGCACAGCGAAAGGCCATGTTATGTTTTATAAACACCAATGAAATGCCAAACTATTTCACTTTCGCTACGAAAGGTTCCATTTAGTATGTAACTATAAGAACGGTGATCATTTCACGTGAACTTAATACTTTCTCGTATTTGAAGATATCATGTTTTCGCCGAATACTCACCTGGAACGCATTTCAGTGGTGTTTATATTATACATTGCTTAAATTCATCTAAAATGATTAGACAGTTGAGTGTTCAGCTTTATTTTGATAGATTTCTGTTTTTGGCATTTGGTGTTTAGCTTTCAGTTTCGAAATATCAGTGTTAGATTTCAAATTTTGTATTTTATAAGGTTTCGTTTTTTAGGTCCATGACAAACTTTAGTTTCCGTCGCTGCAATTTAGGTTTCAGTTTTCATGGAGCGTAGTAAGGATTGTGCATTTTCCTATTTATTATTCATGCTATTTTGTTGAATATTTTTTAATGTTTGCCATAAATACTGTTGACTGGAAAATGAATATTCTTCCTTTAGAAAAAAGCACAGTTTTTTCCAGAACTTTCTTTTTTCTCTGTTATTCTGTCCAATTGACCTATCCAAGTCTCTAACGAGCAAAATTTGGGCCGGTAAACGATCGTATGCATTTTTGGTTAAAGGGCGCCTGTAATACTGCCCGAGAAGTTTCTAAAAGACCCAAACTTGTCACGACATTGCTAAGGCATGTTAAGGGAAGTGTTCACAGCAAGATCTCATCTTTCAAAGAATACTTTTTTTGCCATATTGCTGTGAATAAGATGATGAATAAAACATTTCCGTTTATGTTTTCTTGACTCACAAGAAATATGTTGTCCAAATTCATTTAATTAAAGTGCGCAAGAGGTTTAAAGAGCAAAACAATGGCTGTGCATATGCGTTATAAATCTTCGACACTTCTTTGCCGTCCTCTACAAAACAAGAACGTGAACATAAACCAAGTTCTGCGTATCCTGAGGAATGCGAACGACGATGCATATTTAGCCCGAACACGTTTTTAGAGCCATTGGCGTACTGAACAGATCTCGACAATTGCGAACTTTCGCCGGTAAAAGATAAATTCATTATTGACTAGGCTTCGTCCTCGGCGTTGTCATCGTCGTAGTTATTTAAGCTCCCTAATATCAAAATGTTGTCCAACAAAATGCGGTTAATTTACTTTTGGGTAAGATAAAGTTGACATCCAGCCGGCGTGGCGTGTTAAAAGTTGCTGATTTATCGATAAGCCACTGGTAAGGGAATAACAAACGTTATTTCATAGTTAGCAGGAAAACATTATCTTGGTATTGCAGCTAAAATGCATTGGGGAAACCACTTATTGCGGGCGCAAGAAGAGCCCGCAACCTATCTTGTGCGCCTTTTCTCGATTTTGGAGCAAATTTGCTCTCCCAAAATCGATCGATAAATCCTCGTAAACCAATCAGAATCCATTTCCATGCGAACAAGAATATTTTAAAAGATGGCCGCCGAGTCGGCTAGTGTGCTAGATCTTCAAAATCAGAGTTTTGCATCATTGAAGTGTTAATGTATTTTAAAAGATTGAAAATGGAAAGAAACAGTTTTAAAGAATACTCAGTTCTCAGTCAAAAGAAGAGCAGTAACCAATGTACAGTTTGGCCCTGACTCGATTTTTGCTTTGTTCGGGTGGACTTCCATGGTGATTGTAAAGCGCTATTGATCAGAATATGTAATATGCACTATATCAACTGGTAAATTATTATTTTTATTAAGAATGTATGGAATGCAAAGAAAGCGATTTTATCACGCGCATCACGCGTATTTGGACCTTGGATCACGTGAAACTCAAGCATAGCAGCATGTCAACTTGGGACTTTTCCTGTTCAGTGTTCATGTCGCGTTTAAAGTCCACCTCGAGCGAGTTGTTATCTGTTCTCGTCATTGGAGTCGAGCGAGCTGTGATCTGTTCTCGTCCTGTGGAGTAATGCGAGTTGTGATCTGTTCTCGTCCTTAGAGTCGAGCGAGTTGTGATCTGCTTTCGTCTTGGAGTTGTAAAGTTAAGTATAGCGTGACAAAGCGCGACAAACAAATGATTTATGTGTAAAAGCCTTTGTGACCAAAAAAAAAAAAAAAAGCACGCAATTACAGCGTTTAAGTAAGACTAAACAAAACAAAACGACAAAGCTAGTGTATCATGGAATTTTATACTGCAGGTGACTGTTTCATAGGTTTAGTGAAATTGCTCATTGCAACACCTCCACGTACACTTTTGAGCACATAAATTGGCAAAAAGGAAAAGGGGTTGCTGCTGAACGTTTAAGCTACCCTTATGGGCAAATATTTTAGCCCCGCGAAGCAGAACATCTTACTTCAGGCCCCAAAATATGTCATGACCCCAAAAACCATGTATAACGCACCTATTAAAAATTAATCTCAATGCGCCACTGATTACAACTTAGAACAACTCTGACACATTTTCAAAGCACTAAGCATCGTCCTCGCCCGCATTTCCTGACGTTTGGTTATTACTAGTAAATGATATTAACAAAGGGTGATAAAGTTCTCTTCGTGATATGTAAGCGATAATTATTGTCCAAACACAATGAATTGTATAGAGTGTGACCCCCCGGACTGTTGTCATGACTTGTTATCTTCAGTTACCTAATGATTATGTTAAAATTTGAATTTATTATAGCACTATCTTATGCAATAACAATGACAATGCTAACAAAGGACTAGCATGACCACAAATCTTTTGTAACAAACCCTTCACAAAATGTTGACCTTCTCTTAGGATATTTCAAGTCTTTCATTTAAAATATAAAACTGAACACGAATTTACTTTAAGATAGCACTGCGTCAATTGCAAGTATAAAGCACGCAATGCCCTTTAACACACTGGGAATTCAATTTGATGTTTGTTCTGCATAAAAGCAATTAAATTGTCAATTTAATCACGTCCCTGATTAGTCGAGAACTTATTTTTCTGTGACATAATCGATGCATTAGTAACAGAGATAGTTAGACTATTCGTTCAGCCTGGACTATGTCGTTTTCATCTTTTTTGTCGCAATTTTGGCCGTTTGAATACACATTGTAATTATTTTTTTATTATTTATGTAGCTATTATTACTTCTATCTCAAGCCCGGTGTCATGGCAGACACAGATACAGTGACGTAAAATAAGAGCATTTAAGTAAACATGGTTTTGCTAACGCGGCTGGTCTCAATCACAGCCTCGAGGCAACAGTCGAGGTTTTCAAAGGACAAAATCAAAGAACTGGAAGTGAGTCAAGATTGAAGGTTGTCAGCTTTTGAAAAACGGATTAATGACTGAGTCAGCCTGCCATATCTATTCACGGACTGACTATTAAAACACAACCCGTGACATTGACCCGAAAAGATGCAGTTTTACAAAGTAAACACTCGAATGGAAAACTTAACTACGCAATAATGTTTTCGGAGAAAGTTACATGCTTACCATAGTTGTGCGGAACACAAGTCTTCTCATCTTCCGAAAGAGTAAGGTTATCAGGACACGAACAGCGATATCCACCCGGTGTTAGAAGGCAAAGATGTGAACAGCCACCATACGACTGGGAACATGGATGATCTAATAATGAAACAAAGTTAAACCTAAATGATTTTAAAAGCATAAGGCAAGGAGCCTTTTTGAATGCATGTGACTGGTTTTACCTTGACTTTCTTGTGAACTCAATCTTACTCCTAACTATAAATTGAAAAAACCGATAAACGCTACTTAGTGGTGGTTTAGAAGACAGTGATGCTCTTGTGACGGGAAACACAGCCGGACGGTTATCTGTTGTACTGCTGCAGGTTCTGTATTACGAATACTAATGCAATGTAAACTATATTTTTGCTAAGTGCTCTGGATTTAAAAAACGAGTTTTAACTAGCAGAGAAAGAGTCAATGGCTTATAAGCTAGTGCTGTTAACCTGGGAGAGTTTTATTTGTGTCATACGCGTGAATATCCATGGGTTGACTCAGACCACCGAGTACAACCTTTAAATCTGAAAGTGTATCCTTTTCCGCCTGGTACACCACATCCAAAGTCCAATCCGTCCAGTACAAGTAATTTTCAAACAGCGTCAAACCAAAAGGGTGTGGTAAGATTGAACTGTTTTTCATCAAAGTTGTTATTGTATGACTTCCTAAGTCGTAGTATCCTATGGTTTCAAACCATGCATCCACCCAGTAAAGCCGTCTATTTGCATCGTCTAATGTCAGCCCGTTTGGCCAGTAAAGTCCTCTTTGAAACAGTATACTTCTGTTTCTACCATCCATGTTGGCGACTTCAATCTTGTGATCGTCACCCCAGTCGCACCAATACATCCTCCTAAATATTATTTTGCAGGAACCAAACAATGTTATGACAATTAAAATTACGACAGACAAAAAGGCGCTATTAAGCAGCAAGCATTTTACAGATGAAATAAAAGAAATTAACGCTGAGCAATAGTCTCGAGCTTGCACGGAAAAATGCATAGCCTTGACTACACACTGGTGGGATAAGAATAAAATATCGTTTGTTCCTCGTCCTCTCCGTCTACAGACCTTGAGCCGACCTCCGAGTTCAACCCACCTCATCCCGTTCTTCTCCTAAACTTTTGGACCGCCTTTATCATTATGCCCCCACCTTCTCTAGAGAGCTTCATAGGTAATAGATTAGTCATTGATTTGTCTCATTTATTTATCCAAGATCGTTTTTTAAAATTGATAAAAAAAGTGCGATGACTCATGGCCAAATTGTATCTCAACGCGTGGTTGGTCTCTGTTTTGTTATGATCTGAGCAAGCGAAGCCCGTCTGTTGTCAAAAACTAAAAGCCACAAAAGTCTATTTACTGTTGTTAAATCATGCAGGGAAAGGAGACATACTAGCTAATCAAGTTACTTAACTGAGAATAAAGTATATGTTCTGGTTGTAACCTGGGTTAGGCTGCATTTATTTTTGGACCGGCAGACTCTTTAACTACATCATTACAATTATTCAAGAGAAAGGCGGTGTAAATGAGCATGCAATTAATGTACTAAAGACGCTGATATCCAGCTTTAGACTGTAAAATTCTTAATCCAAAATTGATTTAAATTGACATTGATTAAATAAATCATGGCCTTGATGGTGTTTGGATCACTCACTCATCCTCGTCATCCCAGCAGTGATATAAGGCCATAAAATAGATATGTGATCCTAATCAGCATAGGTTCTACGATTTTTTTCTCCGTTTTCTCCTTAGTTTTAGGTTCGGTTGAGAAGATATATCAAACACTCAAGACAGTGTTTGACCACATTTCCAAAAACATCGACGTTCGTCAAATATACTCCGCTGCGCGTCGTATTTTCAACTCCTTCTCGGTGTTTGGAAATGTGGTTAAACACGGTCTTTCGTGTCAGATAAATTACTTCTAACGACTAAACTTCGTACGCAGATTTAAGATAAAGAAAAAATATATTTACCCTTTCATGAGATCAAGAATTATATCCCTTGGCTCATCTAGGTTGCTGGATATCAGTGTCTTCCTCATTGTTCCATCATTTCTACTGACCTCAATCTTGTTAGTACCAGTGTCAGACCAGTATATATTCCCTCCAAGTGGATCAACAGCGAGTCCATCAGGGGAATAAATATCTTCGGACACTAAAACTTCCGGTGATGATCCATTTATAAATACTCTCGAGATTGTGTTGAGAGTAACGTCTGTCCAGTAAATCCTGTTTTCTGTCAGATCCAGATCGAGGGCAACTGGCCGACGTATGTTCAACTCTATTGGTACAGCTTGTGCCTTCGCGTTGGATTCATTCAGGGGCAATACAAGTATTTCTGCTTGACTAGCATCGGCAAACAACAAGAACTTCTGAGGAACTTAAAACACAAAAATATCTTGATTATAAGTTTGGTAAAGATAGTGGGAGAATGATGAGAAGGCAAGTTTTCAACTAAGAAATGTTTCCCATCCCAAACACTTTTGTCATTTTTAACGTTGTTGGGAAATAAACGCCTGAAACACGATCTTTTTCAAAAAGAGGCAAGTGTGCTGTTGCTCGAGAAAAATACTGTAGCAATAACTTAACGGTTGGAAACATCGAGCCTACTAAAGAATCTAGAGTTTTTCCAGTCTGTTTTGTAGAGTGATAAAACGTGAGAATTGACTTGTTAATTTTATTTCTCGGAGTGCGCACCAAAAGGGACGTTAACGGAGTATCGAAGTCGCGAGTCACTTGAGGGGTTTCGGAAGCATATCCCGAGGAAATTCTTAGTTTTAGGTGCTCGGTAATGCAATTTCTGGACAACAACTTCTTAAATCAAAGCTCGGAAAAACGTTGACTTATATTTTTTTATATGTCAACCTTTGGGATAAATGATATCAGGTTTAATTGGAAATAATTCTAGAGACTGTCAAACCAGGTGATTTAATTATAAAAGACGCTTTTTCCCCAAAAAATATACAAAGCACAACCAATCACGGAAGAAGAAGGCATTGTTCTCTTTTTAACAAATTCATATATCTTGGAATGTATCTGTTATTTTTGACAGTTGCCTGATGATTGCTTTACGGGTATCAAATAAATATGTTCGAACTTGTCCGACTCCACATATACCGAAAGGTTCTTGTCCAAGCCCGAACAGGTCTGTGAATTGTGTTTTTAGATCAATTACTTTCCTTTACGCTTGCCCACTCTCAGGGGTACAAATGGGTATTGGCTGATTGTTGCGTCAGATGGGCAAACTCAGGCTGGCGAACTTATCAACTGATAAGCCTGTTGGCAAGAAATTTCTTAGCACTCAAACTTACTTTGATGTTCACAAGTCTTCTCATCTCCAGCCAGAGTAAGGTGACCAGGGCATACACACCCACCCCCAGTCGGCGAGAGTAAGCAAATATGACTGCAGCCACCATTATCAAACAGGCAATTAGCTATAGAGTTTCCTGAGGCAAAAAAAAAAAAAAAAAAAGAGTTAAAATTCGTGTTTTCAGCATAGTGACTTTACACTAATCTGTAGTGGTACATGGCTGTAGTTTGATGACCCCCTCCCCCAAATGAACTTAAGCGTTGTAATGCTAAAAAGTAAAGATACACACTTAATACAACAGAGAAAATACATACTTAAATCTTTCCTTACCAACCTTGCGGTAATGAATATTCACTCAGATTGTAGCCGTGAATGTCCATGGGCCGTCCAATACCCGTGACAAACCTAGTGATGTCACCGCCAGTCTCTTTATCGGCTTCATGAACAGCATTCCAGTTCCAATCAGTCCAATACAATTTATCTCCGAGTATTGTAAGTCCAAATGGATGAGACAGGTAAAAGGAATAACTTATTAAGGTCACTCTTTTAGTTTGATTTAGATCTAGGTATTCTAGCTTGTCGAGGTAGGCATCCACCCAATACAAACGGTTCTTGTCCTTGTCCAGCGTAAGCCCATTTGGCCACCGCAATCCAGTAGTCACGATAGCACTTCGTTGTTGGCCTGTCATTTCAGCTTTTTCTATCTTTGGAAAACTACCCCAGTCTGTCCAGTACATCACTCTACAAGAACATTCTATGGTTAGATTCATTGTCCTTATTTAAGTGTCTAACGATTAAGATGACATCATTTGTATAGACACAAAATGTAAAATGTAACTGTAATGCAGCAGTCTAGGAGGAAAATGAAACTATATTTTCGGCCATTTAGTGCTGGAAAACTGTAGAAACAAATAGCTAAAGCGATGATTTGAATTTTAACTGCACTTTACGTCTGCAAGGTTGAATGTAGGACTGAAGGTTCAAGGGTCTTCAAGTAATATAAATAAGTATAAGCAATTTAAGATGACCTTTGGTCATTTTTATTTAAAGTTTGTGTTGTGCGTTAAGTTAGTGTTGTTTAACAAGTCGTATCGCAAGTAATGTTACGGTTTATTAAACAAAGTTGCCAATGCAAGTGATGTTAGTACTGTAAGTGACTAATGAAATGGTGACTAATGAAATTATTTTACGAGTACACCATTTGATTGCCTTTTAATGTCGCGGGTAACAACTTACGCTTATGATGGTGGGGTACGGTTTTGACTTGTTCTTATTATCAAGAAACTTCGCGCAAACTTTGCCATATATAATAAATTAACTCTGAAATTTCGCGCCAAAATTAAGGAGGAATTTGTCACCCATGATATTAGCGGTGTAATTAATGTTTGTATGAACTTTCCGCCACTTACTACTGGACAACTGAATACACCAATAGTTAAAGCGATTATTTGAATTTCAATTGAAGTTAGGTGACCGAAATACACTAACAAGTCTGCAAGGTTAAACGGAAAAAAGGTTCAAGTTGCGTATTCCATACTTGAAGCTCGAGGCAGCTATTCAGAGTAAATGTAAGTTTGAGTCTTTCAAAGAAATTGTAAAGTTTGATATTACAAATGACAGATATGTGCTGGTACTACTTTATGTGTTGCCCGTTTTGTTAACATGTCGTTGCCAAAACGTCCTAAAATATGAAACCTTTAGGTTTGAAAGGTCTTTAAAGGGAAATTGTAACCCGACATTTTTTTTTTCTTTTTTGAGGAATGGATAGATACAATTTAAAGCAAAATTCCGTCCCTTCGTAATCTTAAGATATGTTAAACAATTATTCAGATTGGAAAAATTATACTACTTACCCCTTATCAACATCCAGGATAATGTCCCTAGGCTGATCTAGACCACTTGTCACAATGGCCGTGCGCAAAGAGCCATTCATTTTGGAAACCTCTAGCTTGTTGGTACCGGTATCGGTCCAGTAGATATTTCTTCCGATAATATCCACTGCTAACCCATCTGGTGTTGCCAGTTTTGAATCATGGATAACTTCCTGCGAGGAACCGTTCAGAAATGCCCGGGAGATAGTGTTCCTTGTTATATCGGTCCAATACACTCTGTCTTCTACTATATCATAGGCCAGAGCGACTGGACGACTTATCGAGTTTTCAAGCGGCAAAGAAATTAACGATCGAGAGTCTTGTGACGAAACTTTCATTATTCTACCGTAAGTGGCATCTGCAAACAGCAAAAAAGGCTGCACCGGAGCTGCGGAAAAACAGTTAATAGATAAATGTCTTCATTACATTCAGAAATAGATTATTTGTGAATCAACAATCCTAAGCCTTATCATGAAGGGTTACAACACGTTCATCCACGCTTTACCCGTCAGTGTCAGTAGCGGGGATAACAGGGAAAATTAAGCCTAACCCTAACCCTAACACTAAACCTTAAATTATTTCAAGTCTGCCAGCGATTCAGTCTTGACCTAGGTTCGACATTATTGAAGCCGAAATTTGCCGTGTCGAGGAGTAAATGTTGTGGGTTCTTAAATCTAAGCTACTTTTTCCTATAGCCAATTATTGCCAAGTGCATTCTAGAGATTTTAAAAATTTCTTTCTGGGAACCGACGATTGTCCACAGCATTTTGGTAAGTCGACCTCAGTCTGCTTGACAATCGCAATCAGAGATTCTTGAGAGACAGAAATATCTAAATGGAAATTACACTATTTGAATTATGACCACCAGCGCAATCAGACAAACCAAACGAAGTGCGCTGAAGTAGACGCTGAAAGCCCTATTAAATACATTATACACACTGAAGTTCTTTTCCTTGATTATTCTACGTTGTTTTTGACCTGTTAAACTGTAATTCTGTTACAGACCATTTCAGTGGTTGTAATGATAGTAAAACATCATTTGTTGCACATATAGCATTATTTTGTTTTATCTGTTATAACACTTTGTACTCACCTTTGACACAGCTTGTCTCGTTATCCTCAAGAATGAAGCCATCTGAGCATGAACATTTTTTCCCCATTGGGGTAAGAAGGCAAAGATGACTACACCCGCCATTGTTGATGTTACACTCGTCTGTTACTGTAAGATATCGCATCACTCAATTTTAAATGTTTCAGTATAAAGAAAAGCAAACTTCTATAATCTGAACAGTAGTTGGTTTTTTTTTTTTTTAACAAAACATAGCAAACTACAAACGGCTAGGGATAAGGATTACATGTGAAGAACGTTATGCAGATCTTAAGGTGGCTATGGACCTTTTTTAAGAGCCTTTATAAAGGAGGCAAAGGAGATGGAGGACACGATACAGTCATTTAAAGGGTTCAAAAACTGTTCAAAATATTCAAATGTCGTTTATAGTGGCCAATGCGCTTAGCTACACTTAGCTTGTGTGTAGAGTAGAGAGAGTTAGATCGCTTAGGTCGTTAACACGCCATTGTCTTATATTTGTTCTGCAGGAATTGAGGTAAAAGACGTCAAACATTGAGCATCTCTTGTATTGTATAGGATAAACTGAGTTGCTAAGGGGATCAAAATGGCTCAACTGTTTGGGAGAAAAGTTTGATAGCTAAAATGTTAAAACATCTGCGCATCGATCTTTGCAAGTTTTTTAAAATGCCTTCTCTTACTTCGCACTAAGGACGCGAGAGTGGACTCCTATGCTCTAGGGGCGAAAAATAACAAAAATATAAAGCAGAATTTTGAAATACCTGGTGTAACAGTGTTATTCTTGTCATACGCGTGAATTAGCGTAGGCAAAGATTGTGTTGACAAGATTTTGACTACATTTCCTCCTGTGTCTCGATCTGCACGGTAGATTCCTTTCCAGTTTCTATCCGCCCAGTATAGCTGATCCCCATAAAGTGCCAGCCCCAAAGGATAACTCAGAAAAGTTTCAGAATGAGAAGAAATTATTTCCCTTCTTGTCTTGGACGGAAACTCATACACTTCTAACTTGTCGTAATGCCAGTCTACCCAATAAAGCCAGTTCTTTGTTATATCCAAGGCAAGGCCACTAGGATAGTACAGTCCCGAGCGAATAACTATTGTTCGGTTTGCACCATCCATATTTGCTTTCTCTATTCTTTCGTCAAGTCCCCAGTCGGTCCAATACATGAACCTGCGTGTCCAAGAAACACATAAAAGAAAGTCTTGAATGACAGCTCGAAATGCTGAGAATTTACTCAACATACCGATAAACTTAAATTGCTCTCCTATCGTCATTTTAATTAGCTGATAAGTATGACAAAACCGATTCTGCTCAAGGAGGAAACAATTTAACTATAGACACTATCCACTAAACATCAAATCAACAACATATAAAACGATACTTTTCGGCATACCCTCTGGTAACATCCAGAGCAAGATCTCTTGGATCTTGCAAATCATCTTTAATGAGAACGCGTCTGTGCAGTCCATTCAAGGATGCAACTTCAATCACATTTTCAGTGCCGTCCGTCCAGTATATGTTTTGACCAAACGAGTCCACAGCAAGTCCATAAGGGTTTGAGAGTCTAGTCGATACTATGGTTTCCTGAGAGGATCCGTTCAGAAATGCTCGGGAGATCGTGTCTTTCGCTACATCTGTCCAGTAGACTTTTTCGTCCTTGAAATTGAAATCCAAGGCCACAGGGCTTGAAGTGGGCTCTGTAAGGGGTATTCTCAATGAAATACTAGAGTTATGATGTAACTCAAGTTGCCTTATGTTCTTTCCCTCGGCAAAAAGAAAAAATCTTGTGATGTCTGAAATGGAAAAATAAAAAGAACAAAAAAATGTTCAAGCTTCTTAAACGTTTCTTTTTTTAATTGCCGGGATATATAATACGCGCTAACTAAAAGGAAAAATGGAATTTTGGAATGAAATACAGAAGAGAGGAGAAAGAAAAGAAGTACGAGAAACAGGTACGATGGATATGGCTTATTGACCAAGCGCGAGGTCACGATGGCTGGATTTTGGCCGAGTCTTTGCCAATATCCAACCATCTTGACCGAACAAACTTGGTCAATAAAAGACTTTTTATGTGGCTTTCGCGGAATTTTTTTCTTGCGGGACACAGCGGGTAGACCCGAACGTGCAAGATAGCGCCATCTTGCCCGCTCGGGTAGTCAATCACAGTGTGGGATTTGGTTCATCTTGCCCGCTCTCGGAGCTAGCCATGTAATAAACTAGGGCTACTACGAAAGCCTGTTATATATTGACTTGACGGTGTGCTATTTCTCGCATTTGGGACAAAGATCAAACAGTTTGCACAGGAAACACTGAAATAACGAAGCAACCTTACTAATTTACACTTGAATGAAAAATTACGATGATTGTTACCTTCTAAGCAGTTTTTTCCGTCAGGTAACAATGGCAGACCATCCGGACAGGCACACACAAATCCATTAGGCGTCAAGAGACATAAGTGACTGCAGCCGCCGTTATTTATTTTGCAAAGCTGATTTCCTAAAACGAGAAACTCAGTTCTTTGACCATGGCAACATTCAGATTAAGGTATTAAATAACACAATCATTCTGTTTATATCCTGATTTGAACGCTAACCTTTCCAAACCGTACGAATATCTTTATCGCGAGAGGTCTATGGGAAATTGTTGATGTTTCTTGATATACCAATCAACAGTTTACTTTCAGTTCAATTCCTTTATTGTTTATTTTCAGTTTAATTGTTTTATTGTTTACTAAAAAGCGCAAAATGAGTAGCAACCTTCACAATAAGCTGGACTCTGCCCGGAGATATTTGGAACATTCGAATCATTCGTACACCCTTAGTCTCCAAGGTAGTTGAAGTTCGTCAAAATCATTCGGGGACCCTCGATAAGTTCTGGATTGTCTGGAATTATCATTTAGTGTTTGGTGGTCAAGTTGCAACCAAAAATATTCATTTATAGCAAAAATTATAAATTGTAAAAGTCAAAACTTTCTTTACCCGCTGAAGCTGGTTGCCTTGACTTGTCTAGTAAAGCGAGGCCAAATACTCGGTCAGAAGTCAAAACACCAAATCCTCCCAAGTACTCCGCAGTTGTCCAATTAAGCTTCTCAATAGTATCACTATACCAGTCGCCCCAGTAAAGTGTGTCGTCATACACGGTAAAGTCAAAGGGAAGAATGTTTCTTGTAGGATGAACTGAATCGGATAGCTTTCGTCTATTTTGCCCATTTAAGTCAGTAGAATCAATCACATCATCGTAGGCGTCAATCCAGTAGACACGATCTTCTGTATAATCCACGAAAACTGCAACTGGCCAGAACTGAGAAGAAGTACTGAGATCGACAAGAACGGTTCGATTAAGACCAGCCATACTTGCTCGTTCAATTTTCGGTGGTGATCCCCAATCTGTCCAGAACATCAACCTGGTGAAGAAAGATGACAATTAATATGAAAACAGTTTCGCACTCATCAACTGTTATCTAAACACGATATCGTATCTTAGAAATGGTCTTCCTAGAAGTCGTATGAAAAATTACGCAAGAATACTTTAACAGGAATACATCGAACTGTCTTGTGTTAACTAAGAAAGACTATCCTTATCGAAAGGAGAGCTGCACTTCAAAGCTGGCTAAATTACCTTCACCTGATAATACATACTATGAATACCCACCCTTTCTTTGGGTATAAGGCTATTCCACGCGGGTTGTCTACTTCCTCTTTGAAGAGCAACTTTCTGTTCGAACCATCTACCGAAGCAACCTCAATTCTGCTGTATGTGTAGTCTGCCCAGTAGAGTAAGTTACCTTCCCATTCTACGGCAAGGCCTTCGACACTTCCCAGGTCGCCTGTAACGATATCTTCGACAATCCCACTTGACATGTTCATTCGTTTGATGACACGAAGGTTGATATCACTCCAGTAGAATGTTCTCTCGCTCACATGGACATCCAGAGCAACTGCCCGCTGAAGATTTGATACAAGATGGACTCTTGTGAGGGTACTTAACTCGATGGCGTTGATTTCGGAAGTCGCACTGTATATCAAGCATGGTTCAGAGCAGTTGATATAACCTGAATATTATAAGAAAACAGAAATGTAACTCAAGGAAAGAAAACAGGAATGTAACACGATGAAATTTTGCCCATGCAAGTGTTCTTAGCTTGGTGCTGATTTTTTCTTAGAACAACGGAGGTTCTTTCATCGTTGCCTCGTTGTTTATGAATGCCTTAATGGAATAACTTCCCACAGTATAGAGCTGCTAAGAAACAGTGATGTTCATAGTTACAGTACACGCAGCAAAGACGATTTCAGACTTCCATCTGTAAAACGAAATTGGGGAAAGCAAAGAACTTGTTACCATACCATCAAAGACTGGAATAATTTCGATAGAAATTTAAGAAACTCGTGTACCATATCCGATTTTAAATATAGTATAAGTTATATAAATTATATAAAAATATAAAGTTTTGGAATCATTCTCAGTTATGTAATTTCTTTGTCTTTCTGTATTATTTTAGTTTTAGAACATATTTTATTCTTTTATTTATGTGACTAATAATATATTTAGAACAGGACCTCTCTGTACATCACCGGTAGGAGAGAGAACTTCCTGTAATGAATATTATTATTATTATTATTATTATTATTATTATTATTATTTTAATTATTAGTGTTAGTGTTAGTGTTAGTGTTAGTGTTAGTGTTAGTGTTAGTGTTAGTGTTAGTGTCAGTGTTAGTATTAGTATTAGTAACTGTCAACGACACTTAGAACTCAATTTCGGATCGCCAACACTTGCAACAAATATTTCTTGAGAAAATAAAGTTTTGACCAGCTACCCAACAAGACAGCCCGTCGCCAAATGTTTTGTATTTGTTTACATTGCTCAAATTTACATCTTGTTTTCACAAATGAAAAGGTGAATTAACCATTCTGACCACAAAACATGGCCTTTTGGTGAGTCACAAAACACAGAAAGTTTGTTTTCTGACAACCAGTCGTGGCCACAGCAAATTTGCTGAGCTACAAATCGGAACATTTTTTTCTGACCACAGATCTGAGGGTCATCATGGCCAGTTGCCAAGCTACACGGAAGATTTGTTTTCTTACCACAACTCATGACCATATGCCGTCGACGAGCTAATTCTTTCCTGATGACGCAGGCGTTAGTTACAGAAATCATACACACTACGAATCTTTCCGGCGAATACGTGACTGCGTGCTTGCGCTCATGATGAAATTTGCCCCTGCTGTGTAGTGAATTTAGCTTATCTTGGAGGTAACCAGCTCGAAATCCAATGGCTGCTTGGTTACCACGCGCATATTTTTTTATTCTCTACCCTAGCCATGTGTAACAATAATTTACCTTTTTATATTTACAGTGTACAATAAAGAAGTTGAAGTGGAATTCAAGAGATGATCATGATGTTTTGGAAGTTGGCCCATAGTTGGAGCATTCTGTAAGCTTCTGTAGTATTTCATTTGAGCGCCGATGTAGCACAACTGTTTTTTTGCATACTAATCATTATGCTTAAAGCTTCATTGTTTTATGAAAACAAACCTTAAAATGAAGAATTGAATTTTTGTCGTGAACTTTACTGAGGTGCGAGGAATGCACCAGGCTTCCCTTGCTTTCCATGCAGGAGGCAAAGGCGGACCTATGTTAAAATAGTGTCCGTCCTTCAAACGTTTTGAAATTCCCGTGGTCTTAATCGGTAGTATGAAGTGACAGTGCTTACTAAATAGAAACATACCCTATAATATACCAATGACGGCGTTCCGAAAAGGGGAAAGTATTTCAACTCAGAATTTCGATGCCTAAAAAGCTTTTCTTTCTTCTAGTGTTATTAAAGTAAAACCGATTGATAATCCTAAAATCCAGTTATATGGAGTATAAGCAAAACTGCAGGCGGACTTTTTGATGACCTTTTAAGAACGTCACTGACCGCCAACCGCATGCGAGCCGCGGGCTACGGAGCTATCAACTGTCAAAGATTCATTAGCTATTAATTTTGCAAGAATTTTTTCCGGCTTGCCAGTCATGTTATAAAGCAAAACACAAAATATGAAATATCCCCGATTTCTTAATTTAGAGGATCAGTCTTTGCAGCGCGATATAGCTCATGGAAATAATTCTTGGAGGGAGGACTTAAAAAAGGCTAATTAGTGTCTCTAAAATTTATGTACTTCACTGCCGACAATTTGAGGCTGTTAACTCATATTCCGGCCCAGTTTTAAGTCCATTCCCTTCCAATATGTTCATTTACGAGCTTGTTGTTTGTTAGCATCACCCACTGCATTATCACAATAAGCATTGTAGGAATAAGAAGAGGAGCAATATGTTCTTGTCGAGTCTGAATTTCGTTTCCAGGATAGTATCGTATACGTACCTTCAACGACGAAAACAAGGCAGAGAGCAATGGCTGCTAGTAAACAACCTTTTGCCATCCCGGCTGGTTTAAATCAGGACCCCAGGGAAATCAAACTGTGTAAAACCTGCAAGATGCAAACAATAGTTGTCAAGTAGGCTAGCTGTTTATTAGATGGGTTTGAGATAAACAAATTATAGGTAATGAAGTCCACGCTTAAGTACTTTTGTAATAAACTCTCGTAGACAGTACGGAGAAAATTTGCATTCCATTCTAGTGATAGCTGGAAGGCAAATATATCTGCGCAATAACATTTCGATGAAGACTGTAAATAACTTTGTTGGAGCAACTTCAGATGTTAAACTTCATCCGAAAGTGTTACTTGTAACGTGAAAAATATAGCATGCTGTTGGTTGGCGATGCAACAATATGTTCATTTGAATTAAGTAGCACTGTGTAAAACCTGCAAGATGCCGACAAACAATAGTTGTCGAGAGGTGCTGTTCAGATGAAGAATTTGAAATAACTACATAAACAAATTAAAGCTAAACAGTTCCACGCTTCAGAGATCCTGAAACAACCTCTCTTAGACAATATGTGGAAAATTCTGGAGACAGCTCGGGGGCAAATCTATCTACACAATAACGTTTTCGATGAAGACTTACGTAACCTTTTTAAACATCATTTGAAAGTGCTACTTATAACGAGAGAAACAAAGTATGCTGCTGAATGCGGTGCTAGAATGTGTTACTTTGCATTCCGAGACATTGCTCTATTGAATTTTCATGCCAAAGACCTGCATACAATACACTTTAATTACCATTTAGTAGCCTAACAATCATTTCAAAGGGTGCGTCTAACGCGCAAATTTACCCTGTGAACGATTGCCGTTCTTTTCATAAACTTATAAATTTGCTTTCAAAGATGTGAGTGGCACGGAAATTTATCTCGATGAGTCCGGAATCTTGTTCATCGACCTGAAGGAACGTTCAACTATGCGAGATTGAGATATGTAGAAGTTAGCAACTGTATATCAGTACTAGTGAGACTGCAAAACACAATAACATTTCCTTGGATCGAATTTGCAAGACAATGTAATTTCAGTTGTTTGTTTGAGCAAACAGGAGCCTTCTGTAGTTTAACAGGCTGATCAGACAGTTGGCCCGGGCAAATTCTTGTATTTTGCGTGGTAAGTTAATCGTATGCTTGCCTCTCACACCAAGAGTTTTCCACAAATTAAAGGCAATAGCAAAAAACTATTTTGTCTTGCTTGGGCAACTAGCTCAATTCTACCCGTTGCGTAGATTACAAGGAGCCAGATACAGCATACCTACATTTGGCCCACAAGAATTTTGACCCGGTTATTTCTTCGGTTTGTAATCCAGGCGCTCTTACGTTGCAAGAACACGGATTTATTAGTTGATCCGGTTAAACACGAATGCGTATAGTGGACAACACACAACTCATACAATTTATAAGAAACTACATCCGGGACCCAAGTGACGTATTTTCCATCTTCTAACCAATTATGATATTGATCACGATGACGTCGTTCCCCCTCTTTGACGTTTGTTTTTTTTTGGTAAAAAAATCATGTTTTTATATAACATAAAGAAAATCTAACGGTGACCTGAAGATATGAATTTTATATTTTCGGGTTAAAACATTATTGTACCAATGCATCGAAAATAATATTAATATCTTCTCGCCGCAAGGAGATATGTAATATTCTCCATTATATACCTGCGCAGAGATATGAAACTTTTTTGTTGAAAAATATTCTACGAGTGAGCACAGCGAACGGCCATGTTATGTTTTATAAACACCATTATAATTATATACATAGAACCCTGCGCGCACTCTGATTGGTCAAAAACCCATGTTTTATTTAACAAATATAATAAAGAAGCCTAAACCGTGTATTACACTGTGATAAAATACGACGGGCTTTTGAGAACGCGAGGGAAGTGTAGAAAACACGAGCCGCATTTCTCGAGTGTTCTCGAATGTCCGGAGTGTTTTATCACATTGTAATATACGGCTTAGGCTTCTTTATTGGCTTTATGATATAGAGGTAATGTGTCGAAAAACAATAAAACACGCTTTTCCTATGTTTTATACTCTGATAAAACATGGGTTTTCGACCAATCCGAGCACGCACAGGAACCTATCTATATTATAATAGAGTGTAAAACATGGAAAAAGCGTGTTTTATTCTTTTTCGCCACATTACTTCTATATCATAAAGCAAATGAAGAAGCCTAAGCCGTGTATTACACTATTATTATATGGCTTTGGCTTGTGGCCGATATAACGCGCGCTCTGATTGGCTAAGAGCGAGATCCGAGAGGTCATTATGCAGCCGTAATGCCCACGGGCCGATTACGGATTATGCAAATTACGAAGAGCACGGATCTGAAAATTCAAGCGTATTGAAACGATGAAAGCCGATTAAAAACAGTAAGAGAAAGTAAATTTAATTCCGAGTAGCTAACAGTTTAGAGGTTTTTCCTTAATAAAATTTATATAGAAGTCGTTTTTGACCCACCAGCCGGTAACCTTGGCGGGCACTAGTGAAAAACCATCAAATTTTGACGAGTCTTAGGTAAAGTTCAGTTCAGTTCAGTTCAGTTCTCCCAAAATCGATCGACAAATCCTCGTAAACCAATCAGAATCCACTTCCACACTTATTATTATTATTAAGAATGTACGGAATGCAAAGAAAGCGATTTTATCGCGCGCATCACGCGTATTTGGACCTTGGATCACGTGAAACTCAAGCATAGCAGCATGTCAACTTGGGACGTTTCCAGTTCAGTGTTCATGTCGCGTTTGAAGTCCGCCTCGAGCGAGTTGTTATCTGTTCTCGTCCTTAGAGTCGAGCGAGATGTGATCTGCTTTCGTCCTTGGAGTTGTAAAGTTAAGTATAGCGTGACAAAGCGCGACAAACAAATGATTTATATATAAAAGCCTTTGTGACCAAAAAAAAAAAACCACAGTTACAGCGTTTAAGTAAAACTAAACAAAACAAAACGACAAA